CATTCCTGAGCCTGCTGTGGTGTCTCTTTTACTGTGCTTTATGTATGTAAGGCAACAAACGTATCCTTGTTTCTGTTAGATAGATCCTCCTGTCTCCCATATCCCGTTTCTTACCTAAGAACGATATCTTAGAAACGTTCAGGTTAGTTTGACTATCAATGAGTACACGATACGAAGGAAACAACTCTGGAAAGAGAAAACAGCAATTCTGTCCTGTGTAATTAAAAATGGGACTTCAGCTACATAGGTTAAGATAAACATTTGCAGAAACATATAAGAACATGTAAAAAACGGTGGTGTTAAAGAACTGTCAAATGACTATAATGGAGTTTGCTGAAATTTCTAGATTTGGGTGGAATCAGTTTTAGAAGGCTTCATGGGAGCTGAATTTTACCTAGTGCTTTGGGGAGATGAGGTTGAAGCTATGGAATGAAGGGCATTCTATCTATAGTGGGAGAAACCTGCCTCGTTTGTGTCCTGTCCTCTCCCTCCTGGCCCACGTGGCCGACTGCTGCTTATCCTGCAGTAAATGCCATCTGGAGCAGCAGGCAGGGGTCAGAATGCAGCTCAGTATATGCGTGTAAGTGTACACCGTGTACTTTACTGACACGCCTGGACATCATGGGCTGGAGTGGCATGAAGCCCTGAGTAATGAGAATCGAGGTTTAAAAATGGAAGGGAAAGCATACTTGATGGAGAGGATCAATATGTATGATGAGTTTGTATTAATATTTAAAGACTGGGAGAACTGTATGGTATTTGGAACAAGATGACTACTCTTTAGCTACTAGATCTATCATAATTTTTTTTAAATTAGGGTTTGGGTTTTAATGGTTCAGCTTATAAGATACGAACAAGTTACAGTGTCATTGTCTGACAGCAATTCCGTAACACTTTGGTTGTCTGACAGCATTATGACAACCTCATGTTAGGGTGACGACCCATCTTTTTATCTTCAAATGTCAATACCTGTCCCAACTCTTTCAAGGGCAAGAAACTAGTGTTTTCCCTCCATGTTTATAATCCTAGCGAAAACACTGTGAAACAGGGACCAGCAGTTAGTGTAATGGCTGTGTCGCTGGACTCCCACATAGTTGACCACGGTTCAAGTCCCAGACTCGGTGGCTTAAAACTCACGCCGGGCGCATGTGCATGTGTGCCCAAGATCCCAAGAGGAGAATGGAAGAGAAGGGATTGCGGCGTGGCCATCCCCTCTGGGGGGTGATTTCTCGCTTTCTATCTCTGTCTCTCTCTGTCTGGCAAGTGCACGCACCCTATAGCAAAAACCTCTCAAAAACAAAACAAACACTATGTAACACATGCTGGAAGTGTTTGTTGTAGTTTATATATTTAAGTAGTGAATTTTTTTCCTTCTTAATTGGCCTCTAGGAATGTGGAACTAGAAGTGCCCACCTGATAGGTAGAAGTCAGCTAAACACCTAGCTTGGTAGCCAGCTATCACAGAATGGAAGCCTCAGCTCTTCTTCTCTAATTCATAGACTCAGGTTATAAAATCGGCTTGAGCAAAATCAGTGTATTCTTGGGGCCAGCAGGTGGCATAGTGGTGACGAAGGTCCCACATGGCCGACCGCAGTTCCAGTCTCAGACCTGGCGGCTTGAAAATCATCCCTCCTGGATTGTGTTTTCTCACGTTCCCGCTTTCTGTCTCTCTCTTTCCCCCTCCCCCCTCTCCACTGAGCACACAGGCCCTCTGGCAAAAACCATAAAAGAAAAAAAAAAAAGTGTATTCTTTAAAGTTGGTATTTTTCATTATTTCATCAAAGAGTTTGAGTGGAGTGAGCAAGCCAGCAGGTGTGGAGGACTTTACAACCGAAGCAGGGAGTGGGAAGGCAGTTCTGTGTGTGAGGTCATAAGGAGCTAATGATCGTACATGTCGTTTTCTGGGGCTGTGAGTTTATAGTGCCATCTCCTCTTGCAAAAAGCAAGGCTGATTAACCACCGCTGGCAACTCTTTATTTCTTCTCCTCGAATCGTCAGCCCCACAAGCTCATTTGTGGTTTTCTGGTCATGTGGTGATCTGACTAAGCCCTAGGTTCTTATCCTTACCAGAAATGATGAAAATTTTAATTCTTCTGGGGCCAGTCTCTCTCCTGGCGTGTCTGAGCCCAAATGAGGTCACAGTTATTCCTAACTTGGTGGATTGTGATTTGGAATTGACAGGAATATGACTTTTCTGTTAAAGAGTTGGGTGATATATGATATATATCTGATATTTTCTTTGAATATTTTATTTAAAAAGATACATTAGTCTCTTCAGGCAATTAAAATTTGGAAACCAAGACAATAGAGAAGTATTTATTCTATCTGTCCATACCAGGGCTTCTCTTATGAAGATCACTCTGTAAGCACTGGGATGTATACACGAGATCCTTCCATAGATCTTTTTCTCCTCCTTTCCATATTCCAACTTGTCTCTGAAACTACTTTTTGAATTTTTTTTGACATTTCTGCTTTTATGTTTTACTTGTACTATTGCTCAAGTGGCTACACACGAGTGGTCATTTAACCTGCATTTAAAGTAGAGGTATGCTGAGTCATCATCTTTGTACAGAGATTCCCTAATGTCCCCTGCTTGCTGTGCTACTTGTTCAGGTGGAATAACACTCCCATGGATGAAGCCCTGCACTTCGGCCACCATGATGTATTTAAAATCCTCCAGGAATACCAAGTCCAGTACACACCCCAAGGAGATTCCGATAACGGAAAGGAAAATCAAACCGTCCATAAGAATCTTGATGGATTGTTATAACGGTCTTACATCCCAAGGTTTAAATCACTTACCTATTTAATTGTGAAATATGATTACAAAGAACGTCTGTATTTCTATCTGGTAGTGATGTACATTTTACACCATTTGTCATTTCAGTGTTACTGGAGTTTTCTTCATTGTGCACACAGGACAAATCTGATCTCTTTGGGGAAAAGTAGAAATCAAACACCCTCCCTCCATAATGTGAGCAATATTTACCTCGTGCATTGTATCATTTGATGTAAAAGAAACAGTTACCAATGCTAGCTTAACTGTGTGGTCTTCATGATATATTTGTGTATTTTGTGAATTTTCACTTCCTGGTGGTGATCTGCTGGTATGCATTTATAAATTAAGCCCTGTTGTATAGTCTGTCCAAATGGGTCAAGGCTGCCTTTAGAAGCAAATAGTGTGATTTTGCAAGACTTCAAATATAGGTTTAGTTTGAGTGTTTGAACAACTACATGCACTTCCGGTTGTATATTTAAGATGTCTCCTATCACCTTAGCTTCATGAGGTGACTCTTTAAATACTATATAGTTAACAACTGTTAGGATAGACCAATTCTGATTAGACTTTATCAGGGAATCCGTTTAAAATATGTTTGGTGACCAAAACACATGTGTGAATGTAGTCATGATACTTTTGGGAAAATATCCTTTTTCCCTATGCCCTTAGTCCAGCCTCTCTTCTCTGCCATTTAGTTACCTGCCTCTTTCCTTAGCTGGGAAAGTGAGTGCTGGCACACTATGCAGTTTTCATGTTTCCCATAGTACGTCAGAAAATGCCTCCTATGTCTGGCATCAGAGCTTCACTTTGCTATTTGCCTACAGAAGATGAACCAGAGAGAAAATTACTAAGTACAAATCAAACTCATTGGTTGGAAAAAAACGAAGGGATGTACTCGGATAAAGACAAATTCAGAAACGCCCTAAGCCACCAAAGCTCTTCTGACAGTATGGGGACTGCTACAGGTATCATTTGTTTTTAAAGTCTGCATCAAGATACCTGTCTTCTCTGGGGACCACTGGATCGCTCTAGATGCTGATTCTCTATTGTATAGTTTTTGGTGGGCTCCATAGTTTAAGAAGAAGAAACGTTACTCTTTCTTTAAAATTGAGACCCATCATTTCTTTGTCTTGGGGAGATCATTCATGATTAACTTAGATGGTAGGTAAAAGGGGCTTGAAATTTTAATTTTTTTTTTTTTTTTTAGAAATTACGCATACATCTTTTACCTTACCTCAAATGGATAAAGAGGTGTGTTAGTGAGGATGTCTGATAAGCACACACGCGCACACATGCACACAAATCAACTTCTTTGAACCTGTATTTAGTGAAATGAGAATTCCCAGCTACATGAACACTAGTTGATTTCCTTTATCATATAGCAATTTCCTTTTTTTTTTTTTTTTTCTATCAGCATACGCTGCTGCTTCCAAGCTTTATTATGCCTGATGGCACCTTAGTCAGGCCAACGGCCCCCAGGTGCTTTGACTTTTGCTTCTATTTTATGTCGGTGGCTTTGGCCACTGTCTTCCCATTACTCTGCACCTCCTTGGGTGAAACCGTGGCCAGTGTTCCTTAGCTGCACCAGGCACCAAGCGGTTTCCAAGTGGCAGCTTCTGCGGGGAGGATGGTGGATGTTCCTGCCCCGCTGACCAATCAAGCCACACAGACAGTATTTGTAAGATGCTGCACGGAAGCAGTATTCTCCCAAAGATTACTACAGGGCAGATACATTTTCACAGCGATCAATGAGATCACTTTGCTCAAACAGCAGCTTGCTCGGTGTGATTAAAAAGAAACATTCAGATGGTTCAATCGTGTGGCTTGAAGATTACCAATGATTCTGAGGGTTTGGTTTGGTTTGGTTTGGATCTAATAAGAGGTTTTAACTATTTGGGAACAAAGGACAGTTTCATCTTTTCTCAGATCAAAACTATTTTGTGAAAATCTTTGTGGTTGAGTGTGCCCTTATTTACCCTGTTATTTATGTCCGTGCACCCACGTTGTTTAGGACTGCGCCGGGTCTTGTTCTGGCTGTTTGCTGTTGGCTGGTAATGAGGACATTTGGTTTAAATGCTCGTTGACTGCACTGTCAACTGCTGCCTTCAGTAAACTCCAAAGATTATTTTTTTTTTTGGCTTTAAGTAAATATGTGCTATTTCTGAATCATGAGAACTCTCTATGGTCATGTTAACTTAAGGCTTTGTATATATAGTGTTGTTTTTGCTGGTCTCAGTTCTGATGGCCTCGTTTCTGGAATACGCTCTACCCCACTGCTGCCCCACACTGCCCTTCAGCTGCAGAGCTGGATTCACTATTGACCATTTGATGCTGTTGTCTGTCTGGCAGGGACTGAATGACCTGATGCTGGATTTAGCTTCTTCCTGGGGAGTTACACAGCTATGAATGTATTTGCTTCCGAAACCTCCCAAAGTGAATCTAATCTTAAAACTCTAAGTTGTAAGAATTCTGAAATTGGGAAACATTTTAAATGAATCAGGTAGTGTTGCTTTTTACAGCATAATAAATGTATCAAAACAAAAAACTGTGTGAAAAATGAGTTTTCTTAAAACAAGTAAGGTTTTCTTTTTGTCACTGGGTTGGAACTCCACTGAGCACAGGGACCATGTCCTGCTGGTCAAAATCCATTTCCAGAGCTCACTGTGAGCCCGGTTCTATGGAGAATGTCAGGTAGGGTTACTCTGGTGACGAAGGGGAGAATCCTTTAAGGGGTTCATCCTTGAAGATGAGGACAAAAGAGGCATGTTTCTTGTCATCTGGACGTTAACACTATCCTTTTAATGTTAGGAAATGCTCAGTAAATATTTGTTGAACTCAGTAAGTGTTGAATTGAACCATTAAACACAGCCTTGAATGGAGAGGTTATTTTCACAAAACCTTGGAATCTATTTGGAGAGTTAAACCCAGTGCTGCCACATTGGGACCTGAGTGGACCAGCTGGCAGACCTCAGCTCCCACCTGTCATTATATGTGGAAATAGCATTCACTTCCGGTGCTTGAAACTTCAGATCTTCAGAGCGCTCTTTCCATTCAGGTCTAGGGCTAGTGTACAGTTTCCTGACCATAGAGAAGGTAGATGAAACACCACGGCTCTGACATTTCCACCTATCAACGTATTTCAGTGTAAGTTGCTTTGCCCTCTACAGATGTCACAGTGTTATGCTCTCTGCTCTGATATTTTAGACATCGAAAATACTCGAATCGTAAAACTCTAAGAAGAGACATCGAAATACTCTAATCTATATGATCCAGTATCTCAGCACATCTAAGTTCCACAAGAGCAGGGATATTTGTCTTTGTTTACCAACATTTCCCAAACATCTAGACTAGTGCCTGGCCCGTGGAACGTGCTCAACACACCGGATCGCCAGAAAAGCCATGACGTATTTTTCTATGCAAAAATGTGTTCATGACCTGATAACCTCATATATTAATGAATGAATAAATGAATGAACCTTAACTAACTAAAAGAAGTCACTCAGGTAAATACCCCTCACTTTAGGAACAGCATCTCAGTTCCAAAAGTAGGTACAAGACTTTTCAAAGGGCATTCTACCTGTTTTCTACCCTTTCCCTAGGATGGTGAGATGTGGCAAAGGACTGCTTTGTTCATTAAGATTTTCCTTCACTTAAGTTTTCAGGCAATAAGTAGATTTCACTCATTTAATGCCATCCCAGAAAACTCTTTCCTTAAAAATGAGAAATATATCCCAAGAAGTGTGGGTTGTGTGTGTTGTGTGTGTGTGTGTGTGTGTGTGTGTGTGCTTACAAAACACTTTTTAAACCTACACACATCCCTTAAGCCAGAATCTGTTCAGTGACTTGCGAGGCAGGACATACTGACTTTACTCCCTGGAGAAATACAGCTGTCAGTGTTGATAAAGAAACTTTCTATTTCCTAAACACAATTCTGCAGATATGGAATGAGAAGGGTCCTATTTTTTAACGCCAGAATTCAACTTATCCTACTATTTTCTGATAATCATTAAACTGAACTTGCCAGATGAGGTCTAACTTGGGGGTCATGTCTCTTCCTTAGCTATCTCCCCCCAGTACTCCGTGTGTTTTAGTTTGAGGAGGGCGCGGCTCTCTACCTTTCCACATCTTGGGAGAAACACGGCCCCTTTCTGTGGGGCTTCTCAGTAGTAACTTGTCTAGTCATGGGGCTGTGGATTTTAGATGACTGCTTTGGAGATAAGACGGAGTCCCACTTCACGCGTGTTTTAAAACTAAAAGCTGCTCATTTGAAGGTTTAGCAGTACCCAAATTAATTTTAAAGAAAGTGCCAAATCATTTGTGCATTTGGAGGTAGCTATGATCACCAAGTGCCAAAGTACTGTTATTGTTTGCTTTTATGGCACTTATTACGGCTTCTAGCAATACTGTTTCCACCCTGAGCTCGCCAGTTGACCTATCTTTATCTGCCAAAGCAATTCTGATTACTAGTAGGCAATTAAGGGAATACTTAGGAAAATAATGTCATTAATCTTATGGACTGATAAGAAAATGAGATAAACATTAAAGTAATTTAGAATGCTAGTAACGTTTAAAATCATTATGCTAAATATTACTTGGTAAGAGACTAACATTAGAATGATAATATTTCTTAAAAGTAAACAAAGTATCTTGGCTGGTGCAGTAAAATGAAACCGTATTAAATCATTCTCAAAGGGCAAATAGGTAACAATTATTGATAGTTAGGGAACGAGCAGTGGAAATAATGGCTATGTCACTGGACTCCCATGTAGTCAACTGCAGTTTGAGTCCTGGACCCGGTGGCTTAAACTCATGCCAGGTATGTGTGTGTGCGTGCCCAAGATCCCGAGAGGAGAGAGGGGGAGAAGGGATTGCAGCGTGGCCATCCCCCCTGAGGGTGATTTCTCACTTTCTGTCTGTCTTTCTGGTGAGCACGCACGCCCTACAGCAACAACCTCTCAAAAAACAAAAAAAAGTAACCCAAATCCAGTCAGGTTCATACCATCTAATGTAAAGGCTTCATGGAGACCCCAATTTGTGTGCAGCACCAAGGAAAGTACTGTGTGCATATTATATTTAATGTAACAAATATACTTCAGCTTAATTTAAAAATGGACTTCAAGAAAACTTTATCTCTACTGAAGGAAAATACATTTACACAGTAACAGTTGTAGTGATAACGCAGAGACAGATACAGTCCTGTCAACACAGCTAGTGAAAGTTATCTGGAAGAAGCCTGCCAGCCTGCCAAACCCATTCCCTATACCACTTTTTGTGTCAGAGCCAATGAAGGGAGGAAGGAAACATCATCCATTCAAAAAAGGGTCTAGAGAAAGCACAGGGCAGAGAAGAGAACCATCTGCAAATGTAATTATTAAGACGAACACGTTTATCAGTGAAGCATGTCATTCTCAATGCCATTACATAGAACACGAGCTATGAAATGATTTCATTCTCATATAATCTCTGGTTAATGAGTCAAGTTGTCAGCTACTTTTTTTTTTTCCAACTCCTTTCTCGATTTTATGGCTAATAGATTAAATATCGAGCTAATAACAACAGAAACAAATGGACTAACTTAAGAAACATGAATTTATCTACACCTATGATTAATTTCAACTTAAAAAAAAAATAAGGAAATTTGTCTTGAGAGAGCTGTTAATTGTTTGGCTCCCTTGATAGAACTAAGACAATTTCAGTTACTAGTGATGGCGATGAAAGGAGGGTACAGTCACCTTTGGCTATAAAAGCTTTAAGAAGAGACATCACTCATGAATTTGAAAAAAACATTTCCTTCTCTTGATATCAGCCAGGATCCAGCCACGACAAACCAACAGCCAGTTTCATTAAGTTATAATAAACAGAAAAAAGTTCATTCTCTCTACAGAGAGAGAACTTGTCTTTGGCCTTAAAGGCCAGTGTGGAAGACATAATAACAACTTTTCTTCCCTACGTGGATGGAGGAGATCCTTGGTAAAGTATTGATATAATTTGTCTTTGAACTATTTCATGAGTAAAGCAATGGAAAACTTCAGCCATATTTAGAGCAGAGGGAACACATAGGAATTTCCCAGAACAGAATTTACCATTCTTCTAGCAAAAAGTTCCCTAAAGAGCTGTGCATCTCTCCCACAGCCTTGAACAGTTACGTACTGACTTTATGCACAGCCTCCGCTAAGTGGCTAAATTTCTCACCTTTCCCAAAGGACTCCCATTCTAGTCCTGACACTTTGGGTGTATCTGGATATGCTTCATTTGTAAAACCCACTCTGCCAGGACGGCCTTTTAATTTTACCTTCAATAAGATGCATGGAAGCCCTTCAGGGTAACAGAGGTGTCTGAATTAGGGGGAAAAATCCACTTGCTACCAACAGGTTGTAGCAAATATGCTGGACTTTCTTTCCTTTCCCTAGAGTACAGCATGTGAAGGAACAGAGGAACGGGAAGGAATCACACATGGGAAGGAAAAATGTCTCCAGAGTAGATGAGAAAGATCCGTGCTCTATACTGCATTCATCTGTAAAAAGACAAAATGCATTTGGGTTTATTATACTGCTCTCGTGACATGCAGATGCACATATTTAACATTACTGTCCATTCTAGAATGAAGTAGTGGGAAGACACTTCCCCCAACAGATAACCACCAGGGAATCAGAGGACCTTCAGCATGAACTGCCCATTTTCCTGGACTAAGCAAGACCTTTTATACCACCTAAGCGGAAGGATTATGTGTCTATAGCCTGCCGGCTTAATTTTGTGAATCCGTCCAGGCTGCATAAAGCTTTCTGCTGTTATGCAAGTCTGGGGAGAGAGCGCGACATCGCAAATCTGTTCATACAAAACAAGGGTGAGGCGATGCTGAGCTAAACACCAGAGGGAGAGAGGGATGAGGGGGAAATGACGAATTTCCCTTAAAGGTCACTCAGTAGGGAAAACAAACCAATGTGTTTCATGTGTACATTAGAAAAACAATACTAAAAACCCCGTCACCTCTCCCACCAATGCTTTCTGCCCAACTGCTTTACGTAGGGCAACTTGAAGGCAGCAAATTGCTCACTTAAAGAATACCAGCCTGGGGAACCAGCAGTTAGCGTAATGGCTTTGTCGCGGGACTCCCACATAGTCGCCCGCCGTTCGCCTCCTGGACCTGGTGGCTTAAAACTCACACCGGGCGCGTGTGTGTGCGTGCCCAAGATCCCGAGAGGAGAATGGAGGAGAAGGGATTGCGGCGTGACCATCCCCCCTGGGGGGTGATTTCTCCCTTTCTGTCTCTATGTCTCTCTCTGTCTGTCTGGCGAGCGCACGCGCCCTACAGTGAAAAAAAACCTCTCCAAAAACAATAAAAGAATACCAGCCTGCTGCTGACTCTCCATCTGACTGCCACGTTGGCCTTACCCATTAAAACAGATGTCCTCAACTGGGGATGATCCTGTCCTGCCATGATGTCTGAAGACAATTCTGACTGACCTGACTTGGGTAAGAGGAGGGGACATGCTACTGGCATCTAGCAGGTAGAGGCCAGGATATTGTTAAACACCCTACGATAGACAGGACAGATAACCAACCCCCAAAACAAGAATGCTCCAGCTCCAGATAATCCTAGTACCAAGACTGAGACACAAAACACTACTCGGTAGAACCTCCTGAGCACACTTTCTAACCCCACGTGCCCAGCAGTGCACAGGACACAGAGAAATTATTTTGGATTGAAGAGCACAATGAAAGTTGCAGCCCTGTATTATAGTCTGGCTGACAGTGCAAATGTGCAGTTAGGATCCTGGATTCTGGAGGTAGAGAGGGGAGGAGGGCATGAGGGGGGAAGAGGAAGAGAGAGAGAGACAGAACGTGCCTCGATTCAAATCTTGTCACTGTGTGACCATGGCATGTCACTTATCCTCTGCATATCTCCAGGCCTCATCTATGAAAAGGAGATGAACAATACCTTGCAGATAGCTTTGTTGAAAGGATTAAATTAGACAGCACATGTGAAATGTTCAGTATAGTAGATGGAAGATAGGAGAATAATAAATGTCCCTATTAGTATTAGCAGCAGCTTTGGCCAAAGGCCTCTAGGACAGTAGACTGGTTCTACTGCAGTCCTAGAGGAAAGTTTATTTTACAGAAAATCCAGACTAAACAAATGACCAAATCCCGCTGCAGAAAACACAGGTGCTCTAACTCTCTTGGACAGCTTCCCCAGGAGCCCATGTTCTTGCTCCTGAGGCTGCACTGGGCATCAGCTCCCAGTGCCATCTTAGGCCAGCGCTGAAACCCGAGAGAGTGGCTTCTCTGTGACAGTGTATGCCTAAGCCCGAGAGCGGACACCAGGCAGAAGTCATGGCTGAGGTGGAGGAAAGCACAAACCATGCCATGGTGGAGTTGACCAAGTTTAGAAAGGAATCCAGCTTCTATTCTGTCTAACCACCACTGTGCCTACACGATAGCCTCTTACAGCTCTTTAAGTCTTCTGTTTATCTGAAGACTTAAGTGTGTCTGTGTGTGTGTGTGTGTGTGTGTGTGTGTGTGAGAGAGAGAGAGAGAGAGAGAGAGAGAGAGAGAGAGAGAGAGAGAGAGAAAGATTTTATTCTACAAACAAAATGAATGAAATCATCTGGAATGGAATGAAAAGAATACGGGGATCCAAAGGCCTCAAAACCTTCTCCTGACAGCGATTTAGAGTGCTTAACTCGCTCTGACAGTATCATTCTGAGAGCACACAGACAGCGGCCCCACCACTAGCACAGATGGAGGGAACTAATCCATCTTTTTTTCACAAGGTCACAGAGAATAATGGTGGTGGCACAGTTGCAGCACTGACTGCCAAATCCCACACACAGGCCTCTCACCCAAAGGCCATGCTGCCTTCGCCTTAATAAACCAGAATAAAACACACCCCGTCCTGTTCACCTTAATAAGCCAGGATTAAACACATTCAGTCCTGTAGAAAGAGCTTCTGTAGGAGGCTTGTTTTGAACAAAGGAAAGATCAGCTCTCTGAGGGAGGCATCGCAGCACGTACCCTGGAGACTCGCCCGGTGGATTCCAAGTCTCTCCTTTACTGACTGCTTGATCTTAGTTACAGAGCTGGGTGGAGGGGATCTGTTTCCATGTTTGCCAATGGGAAAAACAATAATATCTAACCTGGACAGTTGTTGTAAGGACTAAGCTACCACCTGTGAAGTGCCCGGTACACAATAAGTACACGATGTCACCTACTAATGTGGTGGCGAAAGTGACAATGATAGAACTTTCTCAGTAACACTGTAGAAGGTGTAAAAGAAGACTGCCCATTTTTTTGGATCCATCGATATATTTTCTGAGGGCCTTATATTTATTACATTTGGGTATCAGGCTTATAAAGTACTTTACGGCAGGGTTGGAGTCACATTGTAGCAGAGGATGCTACCTTACACATGTATTGATACAGGCTCATTTTACACTCCCAGTAGGACAGAGCTGCAGAATTACTGTGCTCCTGCATTAGCTAAGCAATTTTATTTTCCTTTTTAAAAGTATATTTATTTCAGGGCCAGCAGCTGGCATGTGGCTATGTCGCTGGACTCCTATGTAGTCGACTACGGTTTGAGTCCCGGACTTGGTGGCTTAAACTCACGCCAGGTGTGTGTGCGTGCGAGATCCTGAGAGGAGAATGGAGGAGAAGGGATTGCAGCGTGGTCATCCCCCCTGCGGGGTGATTTCTTGCTTTCTGTCTCTCTCTGTCTTTCTGGCGAGTGCATGCGCCCTATAGCAAAAACCTCTCTTAAAAAAAAAAAAGTATATTTCTTTCTTTCAAGAGGGAGGGAGAGAGAGACATGAACACCTCCAATGGGGTCTTGATAATGCCATGTACCCCAGCCTCAGCCAGTGGCACCTGTGTACCCAGTCCCTCAGGGAGGCGTCTGGATACAAACCTAGAACCTTCTTATGTGGGTCGGCCTTGAAAAGTGTCATGTCTTACCACTGTGCCACCATCCAGCTCCCAAGTATTTTAAGTGACTTTCTCATCCACAATAATCACAAAGGTACAAAAGAGTAGTCTTTAAAGATATCAGCCTTACAGTTTGAAAAAAATGACAAAAAAAGAGTTACAAGAAACCTGAATCTGGGACCAGCAGTTAGCATAATGGCTGTGTCGCTGGACTCCCATGTAGTCGACCGCGGTTTGCATCCCAGACCCAGTGGCTTAAAATTCACGCCAGGTGTGTGCGCATGCGTGCATGCGTGCATGCCCAAGATCCTGAGAGGAGAACGAGAAGAAGGGATTGCGGCGTGGCCATCCCCCCCTGGGGGGTGATTTCTTGCTTCTATCTCTCTGTCTCTCTCTGTCTGGCGAGCGCACGCGCTCTATAGCAAAAAAAAAAAAAAAAAGAAAGAAAAAAAGAAACTTGAATCTGAGCTGGTATTCTGGATGCCATGTAAACACATTTCCCGAATGCAGGAACTCACGGCCCTGGTGGTATGAAGAGTGACATGGTCTCACTTGTCTCTTCCCCTTCCTGCCTTCCTTGCTCATTATTAAGCACACATTCTTTGCAGGTGACGGGTACACAGCCGTAAAGAATGGCCAGCAATAACGCAGAAAGGACTTTTTTTAAAAACATTAAACAAAATTTTAAAAATAAACTGAAACAATTCCATGAGGAAAAGAGCTTAAAATTCAATAGCATCAGCAAAAATCCAGCCAACCAAACCAAATCAATCTTTAAGAGGAAGGATTTCAGGCTGAAAGGCAAACACTACTATTTGATAAACTGAAAAGCATTCTCCCAAAGGAAGATTCCCTCCACCGCAGACAATCATCTTTCGATTCCTATCATGAAACTCATTAACTGTGTTGATCTTTGAATTTCTTTTTCTCTTGGCCAGCCCTTCATAGCTCCAGGAGCGAACAGCACAAATTAGTTCTCAAAAATAAAGCAGGTGAAATTGTTTCCTCGCTGCTAGCCAGATACAACTCTGTAATTACTGAACTATTAATCCTCTCCCCTCCTAAAATTAACACTCTTCTAGACACGCTGGTAAATGACAGGCCAAAGGAAAACATTTTCTTCTCATCAGAGAAATCTCAGTTCCATAATATGTGAAATTTCCCTATGGACAACTTCAAAGGACAGAGGGGCAAACTTCTAAATACCTAAAAATATCACTTATTGGGACCAGCAGTTAGTGTAATGGTTATGTCGCTGGATTCTCACATAGTCTACTGTGGTTCGAGTCCCGGACCCAGTGGCTTTAAACTCACACCGGGCGCATGTGCGTGCGTGCCCAATATCCCGAGAAGAGAATGGAGGAGAAGGGACTGCAACGTGACCATCCCCCCTGGGGGGTGATTTCTCACTTTCTGTCTCTCTGTCTCTCTCTGTCTGTCTGGCGAACACACGCGCCCTATAGCAAAAACCTCTCCCCACCCCCCCAAAAAAAAATCACTTATTTTTTTGGAAGGTTGCTGACAAGAATAAAAATCTTGCTGAAGATGTGGGTCATTTAAACACAGCAGGCTCTGGCAGGTCAATTTCATCTCAAACATGCCCTTTCCTCGGCTCTGCCAAGAGATCTCTACAGACAGGCCCAGGCTCCAGCCCAGCACCTTCCTGACCTTCACAGGGCCACACTCACCGCAAGTCAAGCCCACCCCTGCCCCGGTACTTACCATAGTGTCGAATTCTACAGAGCCCACTATCCGAGACACCTCGTCAAACTCCTCAGGAGACATGGGGAGCAGGTGGTCTGTAGTCTGAAGTCTAGAAGGGTGACTGAAATGGGGAGAAAGAGAAGGAAATGTTAACATTTGCATTATTAAAACAGTGGAGCAACTACATGTTTTACTTTCTGTCTAATACTGAATTATAACTTCATAGTTTTATTGTTGGCAAGTACATAGGTTCGTACGTTTGAAAAAGCATGGATCGTGAGAGGTTTACGGCCCCGGCCCAGCCCCTTGGGAAATGTCCTGGACTCCAGAGATGTGGGTGAGCAACAGCCAGACTGGAACCGGTGCCGCTTCTGCCTGGTCAAGCCTACGTGTGGGCCTGTGCCACGTGTCACCCTGAGATGACAATGCTTCGTGGCTTACCCTGGACAGAAAAGCACCAGAAAAATAAGTCTGGGGAGTCCCTCATCCCTACCTTGAGGTTTGTATGCAGAGAAAGCTGCTCCACAGTGTTTTTACATGAAGGTTACATCCATTCACCCCAAGGCAGTGCTGCGGGCCCAATTACTGACTTTTCCAAATTTTTTTCTGCCTTTTATAAAATGAAACAACAAAATAAAAGCAAGCGGAGAAAATGTATCTCGATCATGACTTTGGCCTTTTCTCGATTGAAAAGAACTACTTTCCCACTCTGGTCGATTTTTGTTTCTTTTATTTACACTTTTTCAAAGTTATCAGTTTGGGGAGAACTTGTAGAACCTTAAATACAATGTTTGGTTTCTGTTTTTGTTCCTTTTTTTGTTTTTTTTTTTTTAAGGCAGTAAGAAGCTGATAGGCAGTGACACTGGGACCTCTAGTGAGGGTCTTTCAAACAAGTCCAACTGCGATGGTGATGGCAATCACAATGGAAAAGCAAAACACAAGCATCTTCAACAGGCCCCAGCCAGGAGCAAGGCTGGCTTGAGGTTTTACACATGCCACTCTTCCGTGTTCACTTACACTTCAGACACAGAAATCAACTCAGTCTTGATGTACCCAGTTCCTTTAGCGCCGTCAAGCTCCATTGGTTCCGGTGCTGAAAGCAAACACATCGAGCACACCCTTAGTAGCAGCGGCTATGCAAGAACAGGTCAACTCTGGGGGAGATCACGGCTCCGTTTTTCTTGACAGTTTAGTGTCCAAAACCCTTAAGGGGTGATCGTGTCCCTGCCTAGGTCACCCGAAGTTCTGGTGGGAATGCAAAAGCAACTAGAAGAAAAGGGTTGGGAGATTTCAGCAAGAGTCTAGCTGGAAGCTTTCTCATTCCAAAGCTTGAACTCCTACAAGAAAGTGGAGCCTCAAGCAAGCCAAGTCCTTCCTGGTTGGGTGGCACTGCAGAACTGGTGGATGTAACGGACACAGCTGCCAAGGGAAGCTGGGGGGCATCTTCCTTCCCAAGCAATTGTTCTGATAGAGATTTCTGATGTTTGTGGCATGTTTTAAGCCAGACAGGTTTAAACAGGAACTCTCTCAAATGCAATTCAGTGATGACTGAGCAGCAGGAGATCCATGTTCTGAGACAAAACCTCCTTTTATTAATAAATAACAATAGGATCTACTAAATCATTGAGTTGCCCTGAACAAACCATGCCACTTCTCCAGGGCCTCAATTTCCTCCAGTTCAACACAAGCAGGTTAACATAAACTGGTTGGCTTTAGTTCTTATTTACCCCTTTTCATGCAGAAAATACGATAACGTTATAAATAACAAACCAGCAGTGGACTTTTCCAATGACTCTAAAATACAGACTTAGCTATTCATTTCTTACTGGCTGTATCAGGCCAAAGAGTTCATTACATTTCAACTGTGCTAGCTGTACCATATTCTGAAAGCCTATTTTTAGCAATTCAAAAGAAAGTGGTAGGGTAATGGCACAGCATGGATGGAGCTTGTGTAGGCACCTTCCACTTATTAGAAGGCAAGGGCAAATCTGTATTGAACTGTCTAAAGAAGAAACACTCCCTCATCCCCAGGAAGGACAGGGCTGTCCTGTTAGTCATGGGCAATGACGGCTCACTCCCACACTTACCTTCCTTTGGCCTGGAGTAATACTTTCCAAAGGCATGGTCTTTGTCAATATTTGGATACAGATATTTCAGGGGATTCTCTGGAATGTTCTCAGCAGCCATGACTTTGTAATTGCGAATGATATCAGGAAAAGTCACGGCAGAAAGTTCTTTCTTTGTGTAGGGTTCAACCGCATGGAAGTAAGGTTCTGAAAAGGAAAAAAGCTAAGTGAGTCCCATGAAATATAAAAACAAGAGACAGAACACTGCAGAGCTGATGGCTTTCGGTAAACTTGGTAAAAACTAATCACAGTCAGGACCAGCAGATGGCGTAATTGCTATGTCACTGGACTCCCACGTGGTCAACTGCAGTTCGAGCCACCAGGAGCAGGTGCGTATGTACCCAAAATCCTGAGAGGAGAGCAGAGGAGAAGGGTCTGAGGTATGGCCAATCCCGATTTCTCACTCTCTTTCTCTCTCTCTCTCTCTCTGTCTCTCCAGTGAGTGCCTACCGCCTACAGCAAAAAATCTCTCATAAAAAAAATAAATAAATAAAAACTAATCACAACCTAGGAATTACAGAACACATGGTGCAGTGCTTTCTGTATGTCTAAATAAGTTACATTCTTGTCTTAAAAGGAGCATAAATAAAGGCAGTCAATATCCTTGATAACATTGCATTTGTTATTATTTGCTTACATTTAAAAAGCCGGCCAAAAGAGGATTATTAAACACCTTTAAAGCCTGTATCTTCCATGATACTCTGCCTTCAGGCAGATAAATTACTAATTACGAACTGGATCTATTTGGCTCAAGCCACAGATTAAGTTTCCATGAGATAAGCTTACTGTTTTTCTTTTCTTACTGAAAACTATATTCTTTATTTTTTTTATTTATTTTTTTTTGAGAGGTTTTTTTTTCACTATAGGGCGCGTGCGCTCGCCAGACAGACAGAGAGACATAGAGACAGAAAGCGAGAAATCACCCCCCAGGGGGGATGGTCACGCCGCAATCCCTTCTCCTCCATTCTCCTCTCAGGATCTTGGGCACACACGCACACGCGCCCGGCGTGAGTTTTAAGCTACCGGGTCCGGGATGCGAACTGCGGTCGACTACGTGGGAGTCCAGCGACATAGCCATTACGCTAACTGCTGGTTCCCTATTCTTTATTAAAATAATTGATGAGGTACAGAAAACAACTTTTGATAACAAAAACAAAGTTTTATTTGCCACTTCTTCCTCTAATCCTTAATGTAATAAAGCATACTTTAATTCACTGCTGTTGTGATTTCCAGACCTAATGCAGAGTCTCCCTCCTGATTTATGCAGATTCCCACTTCTGGGTGGTCACACTCCCAGGGTTCAGCTCAGGCCCACTGGGGACCGGGCTCTAGAACTTCAGACTATGTTGGTATTCTCCATCTGCGTAGCTGGTATGGCCCTGCTCCAACTTTTCCATTGCTAAGGTTTTCCTCATCTTTGACTGGTTTGCTAGCTCTGACTCAGCTGGTTCAGGAAAGGAACCACCGGGGAGAGGAGGAGAAAGGGCAAGCTCTGATGTCTCCTGCCCTTGCCTGGCTCTGATCCTGCTTTTGCATCAGAAGAAAAAATAAATAGCACAAGAAAAATACCCCATCTTTTTACATCTATCCACTGACAGCATAAAAGTCACAGGAACAAATCAATTTTTTCTCCAGTTCTTAAGCAGATCAAATTCTAAACAACAGTGAAAAGCAATCTAGCATTTTTCACCTGTGCTGTTCAGCTCATCCCCACAAACCTGCTTTATAATGCCAAGTTTCTAGGAATCTTTTAGCCATGGTTTCATTTGTTTAAATGGAAACCCGATACATGATAAAGATAAATTTTTTTTTTTTGGAGAGGTTTTTTTCACTATAGGGCGTGTGCGCTCGCCAGACAGACAGAGAGAGACATAGAGACAGAAAGCGAGCAATCACCCCCCAGGTGGGATGGTCACGCCACAATCCCTTCTCCTCCATTCTCCTCTTAGGATCTTGGGCACGCACACGCGCCCGGCGTGAGTTTTAAGCCACCGGGTCCGGGACGCGCATTGCGGTCGACTACGTGGGAGTCCAGCGACATAGCCATTACACTAACTCCTGGTTCCCCATGATAAAGATAAATTTGAAGGTGGGGAGTGTAGGGGGTGCTGCAGTTCATCCCAACAGCCCCAGCACCCAACCCCCTGCAATGGTGTGTGTAGAGTCATCTCTCAAAGCTCGCCCTCACCTGTGCACTTTGCTCTAGCATCACTCTGAGTTTGGAAGTTTATGCCTAAGAAAATGTGATTCTTTCCAGCCACTGGATGCAGAATATACTGACTTCATGTCCTTGATGTAAATATAACAAACCTGACAAAAAGCAGAGTTTCTTTCCTACCACATGTCGTAGGCAAAAAATCACACAGATTCATGGTGGTTTACTAAATCCTGTCTGGGGGCTTTAGTTCGGGGAAGTAAAGGATCTGCAATTTTATGTGCAAAACTCATTATTCATAGGAGCCGATTTGTAGCAGCGAAGGAGGGTTTCACACACTCACCGCCTCCATTCTGGGACCGCTCCACCCATGTGAACGTGATGGCCCCTTCCCGGCAGCTCTCGCTGAACCGTAGCAGGAACGTCCCCGGCTGCTGGTCCTTGAGCAGCGCACGCTCTCGCTCCTTGCTGATGAAGCCCACAATGCACCTGGGCATGGACAAGAGCGACAGAGGTGCAATGCGGTTCCATCGTGATTTTAGTTTCCTTGTTAACTTACAAACCAAGACACTGACTGGACTGGACAGAGGAACATAGGATGAAAATATATCGACTATTTTCAATCTGTTTAACTGACATTTTAGGAAGCATTTCACTTGTGTGTGTATATGATAAAGTAAAAAAAAAAAAATTACAATGTGAACAGGTGTCAGTAGGATGCTGCAGATGCTCAGTAATTACATGCTGGATTAGTGAGCCTTTCGCTGCTGCCTATCTTACAGACCATGAAATTGCCTGGATTATACCAAGAGGGAAGACTCAGATGATACACTTTCAAATTCTAGCACTTCTGATCAAGTTAACACTTGGGGAACTATCAGCTGATTCTAGGAATAAGTTAGAAACAGTGTGTTGAGTTCAAAAGGGTTTTTTTCTTCCTTCCTAAGGGCAATACAGAAATTCTTATTAAGGGAACCAGCAGTTAGCGTAATGGCTATGTCACTGGACTCCTACGTAGTCGACCGTGGTTCGCGTCCCGGACCTGGTGACTTAAAACTCAAGCTAGGCGCGTGTGCGTGCGTGCCCAAGATCCTGAGAGGAGAATGGAAGAGAAGGGATTGTGGCGTGACCATCTCCCCTGGGGGGTGATATCTCGCTTTCTGTCTCTGTCTCTCTCTGTCTGTCTGGCGAGCACATGTGCCCTATAGCGAAAACCTCTCCAAAAAAAAAAAAAAAACAATTCTTATTGAGTGAATGCATGAAAAACACTCAGAGTTGTTTGGGTTTTTTTAATTGCTTAGTTTTGCAAATACATATATGAAGGGATTTCAAAAATGTATGAAAAGATGAAATTAAAGTACAAGTCTATTTTGATGCAAAAATTTGAAATGCATGTATCATGTTTTTCATAATATGGATGTTTCCTAAACTTTCTGTAGACCCCTGTGCATATATCTGAGAAAATACAAGTTTAATCTCGGCAATTCTACTCTCATGAAGCCTCTGGGGAACAGCCTGTGAGTGCACACCCCTACACGGGCACACGGGCCTTGTCAACAAGGAAGTTGGCACAGGCCTCTTGTCGATCTCAAAGTAAGGGAACTTGTACTAAAAATGTTTTAAAAATGACATCCATCGGTGGCCCTTACCCATCATTCCAGAGAGACAGCAGGTGTTTTTTAATAAGTTCTAGGATGCTTTCAATCCAAAGCCAGAAGGGAAAATTTTTATCATTTATATTTTCCTGAAAGTATACAGAGGCACACATTAGGAACCAAGAAATGTGAAACAGCAACTTCCCAGGGCCCCTCATGCTGTGGGATTTTAATTGGCAAAAACTGTCCTTCAGGGCTGGCAGGTGCCATGGTGGTTGAGGGCGCTGGATTCCCACATGGCTGACCATAGTTTGAGTCCCAGACCTGGCAGCTTGCTTTCTCACTTTTCCTCTCTCTCTCTGTCCTTCTCTGGTCAAATTAAAATAAATAAATATAATTAAATTTAAAAATTCATTTTAAAACATTGCCCTTCACAGAGCAGCAGCCGCCTCTTATCTCCTCTTAACTGCCATTGGGACCTGGAGCTCTGCGTGTCCCTGGCCCCGGGCTCAGCTTCCCTTTCCAAACAGTGGCAAGCCAGCCAGAGAACGGCCTCTAGTGGGAATCAGTGAAAGGAGAGCGGCCCTCACACCAGTCAGCACTGCCCGGTGACCCCTGCAGGGTCTATTGCTCCCTCCTCTGGCCCCTCTATTTGAGCAGGCTCATTCCAGAGCCCATATTTCACATGGACAGTAGCTAACAAGCTGCCAAACAGGGGCCCGTGTGGGCGAGCAGAAAACTCGCTTCGGATATGCAAGAATGTTATCACGCAGGCAGGTGCTTCCTGTCAGATTCTCACTTGGAGACCAACCGCCTGCGCTGAAGGAAAGTCAACAATGTACCCTGGGGGCTCCGTGGGCGAGAGACAAACATGCCAGAATAAGCAAATAGTTAAATAACTACCACGGTGAGACATGAGAACCTCCACGGAGAGCCAGAAGAGCTGAGAATATAAAACCCAGAAGGCACCCACCTTACAGAACCTCGTCCATGGAATAAGACCATCGGGACCGGCACTGGGACCTGCATGAATACAGATAAGCCTTTTTTAGCAAAGAAATCGATTCAGGTACTTTGCTGGGACTGATGGTTCTTCTATTTGCTCTCAGAGAAAAGAGCTAACACCCAGAAAAGGAAGACTGTAGGTGCATGGCCGATGGTTTCAAGACAGGTTAATGCTACATTAATTGAGCAATTACCATACGATTGCTGTCAAAGGTGGAAATTTAAAGTCTAAGACACAGGCAGATGGGTGTGATTTTAATGGCACAAAGGAATGCTTGGCAGATTGCTGGGCACCGTAACAAGAGAGATCTTAGAGAAAATGGAAACATCACCAAGCCTCAGCATCTGTACCTCCTTCCTCTCTGCCACCTTTATCCCTCCTTCCCCTCTGAACTGGGGACAAGGCTCTTAAATCCCTATTTGTGTCATCCTCTTTTCCAAGGCCACCATCTGACTTTACCTTTGGCCTGAAGCCAAAGCCTGCCACCCTGGCTCTCCCGAGAAGTCCCCATTTGGTCCTTCCCCATCCAGCATCATTTCCCCCTGTTTCTCTCCCTTGTCATAAAATCCCCTCCTGAAGACCCTACAGAATACTTTTCAAAGTTCAAAGACCAAGATCACCCCTCAGTGGTCAGGTTAACTGACACATGATTTTACAAGCTGATTTCTGAATTAATTCCACATTTACCTTAACCCTCCTCCAAACAGAATATGGGCTCAGGAAGGTTCATGCAGATCGAAAGTCAAGTGAGAGAAAGGAGAGAAAGCCTGGGGTTATTAGCTGCACACATTAAAGCATCCCAGGCTGTAAAGAAGTGCTAAACCCACTACCTCTCTTCAAAGAGAAACACAAAGAAGCCATTACAGGCAGAAAAGGCAGCTTTCCTAACTCTCACCATGTGAGGAAATGGAATAAGGTGACTTTATACTTTTTCTTAAATGGGACAAGCCCCCACTGTGACAGCAGCATTGCCAAGAGAAGGCACTGCTGGGAGACACTGGTAAGGAAGGGCCTGCTGGTATTTGCAGCAGATGCCATTCTGATGCACAGAAAGCTGCGGATTTTTAAAGAAATAGTTCAGTTATCCTATTCATTGAAAGACCTGACCTTGAGACTAGTGGGACTTTGATTTTTAGTATTTATTTTAAAGCTTATTTTTATTTTTTTCATGAGCGAGACAGAGAGAGAGGCATGGAGATAGATACCCTTGACACTGCGCTGCAAACCTCTTGCCTAGCAACCAGCCAGCCAGGCTCACAAGAGCAAGCCTACACACCTGATGTGTTTAGGTGGGTTTGGGATCCGAACCTGAGCTCCCCACATGGCTCTGGCATTGCCAATGGTGCCCTACTACGTACCACCACAGCTGGGTCATTATTATGTTTTTTTCTTCTTCAATGAATGAAAGAGGGGGAAGAAAGAGGCAGAGAGAGAGAGGGAAAGGAGGAAGACATAGATTAGAACTGTTGACAGGGTTGGTCTCACTGTGTCATGACCTTCCTACCCCAGGCCCATATTACCTAGCATGTGTAACTGTGCCTGGTATGTTTAGGTTGGTCCCAGAACTGAACCCGGGTCTCCCTGTGGCTTCCAGCCTTGCAAGTGGTAATACCCATGTCCTACTATAGCTGGGCTGGTCTTTGACTTGTTTGGTGTGGAAGACAATCCACTGATAACAAGGCTCAACCAAGGTAGCACAGGTGGTATCACTGCACGATACTAGAGGCACCTGGGGGCCCCATGCAGCTCCCTGGTTAACCTGAACACAGCGGGCAGGCCCATGACACTGGCTGGGGGAGGACTGTGGTATGGTAAGAGCTTGTCAAGGGTACCTGTCTCTTTCTCAAAAGAAAGAAACGTTAAAAAGATCCACTGATATTAACCACCACAATGCAGTTATCTACCATGGTCTGGTCTGTTCGATCAGGTAAAACTGCTGGTGAGACAGGGAGTCTTCTCATGGGGACAGTGTCTCCTGCGACCTGGGCCATTCTGGTACATAACCCTTGGGTTTATGGTGAAAGCCTGAGCAGCCTGAGCATCTTATTCTTTCCGTGTCGGGGACTTTCTTTTTTCTACCCCTGGTTAATAAGTTTTCATCTCACCAAGGAAATTATTTTAGCCACAAGTAATATATTTTACGTAATTCAAAAAAGCTTTCCCTTGGGAATCCTAAAACATGTTCAGATGAGATAAAGTGGAAAGGATTTATTTAAATCTTTATCAGCTCTAGATTTCTTTCCAAGGTGAGGTATGACTCTCACTTAGCTCTAAGAAGCTAGTCTGAAAAGTCGACACATTCTAATACCGTTCTACATTTAACAAAACAGCAAAGCGAAAAGAGCAATGAGAGTACTTTTGTGAATGTCTATGTTCATGTATATAAAACATGATGACGCTCATACCAAGAAGCTTCTCTCCCAACATGTTCAGCTGGTCCACATTGAGACCTCTCTTGGTGACAGAAGAAAACTGCCAGCTCAGCACTTCGGAGAGCTGAGCCCATCGTGCGCATGGCGGGTTCAGGAAAAAGGAGAGGTTCTAGAGAGAGACCCAAAAGCTCAGGGTTACTGAGGTCACCGCGAAGAAGCTGGGTACTAAACCATGGGCCCGTCCCAAAGGCCAGTTCTACTTCACATGACACAGACACTTATTTTCATAGTAGAGGATGACAAGGCCAGCTAATTCTCTTTATTTGCATTCACTTTTTTTTTTTTTTCAAGTTTTTGCTATTGGGCCCACAAGCTTGCTAGAAACAGACAGAGAGGGACGGCGAGAGGGAAAGTGAGAAATAACCCCCCAGGGGTGATGGCCACATACGATCCCTTCTCCTCCATTCTCCTCTTGATATTTTGGGCACGTGTGTGTACGTATACCCAGTGTGACTTCAAGCTGCCAGGTCCAGGATTCAAACTGTGGTCTACTATGTGGCAGCCCAGTGTCTGCCTTAATTCCCATGCCATCTGCTAGCCCCTACAGATTCACATTTATGAATTTATTTACTCATAAAAATTTACTTAGAGGGGCTGGCAGGTAACATGGTAGTTAAGGGCACTGGACTCCCGCATAGCCAACCGTGGCTCGAGTCCCAGACCTGATGGCTTGCTTTCTCATTTTCTCTCTCTGGTCAAATTGAAATACATAAAGTTAAATAAAATAATTCCTTAACTAAATTTACTTGTAACTTCAAAATCAATATTTATTGGCACCTTCAATGTCATTTGAAGACATGCCCATGCACAGGGTGGCACTGGAGTCACTCAACACATGTTCCCATCCAAGTCAGAATAAAATGCCTCCACACCTTCCTGTGTCAACTCTCACACCATAAATACGTGTTCTTATCATGGTCTAGTCAGTGCCGTGTTTTCTGCAACTCTGTTGCTGAGGCAGTTGTTTAGAGTGACTCCCATGTGTAGTGCTCATGTGCAAATGTTCCAAGGACACAAAGCCTGGAATGTGTCTTAGGGAGAAAACGTGCATTAGACACACTTCACACAGCGATAGTGTTACTGGCTCTAAGCTCAATTAATGAATCAACAAATACATCACACGAGGTGTCCTTAAACAGAAGAAGGTTCATATATATATATATATATATATATATAGATAGATAGATAGATAGATAGATAGATGGTGTGACAAAAATGTTGTGACCAGAGGCTCGAAGGAGCCTAACCTTATATTTCCCCTAGGAAAAGAGATACTCTAATTAAATGTCCCCAGTACCTTTACAGAACATGAATGCTTTGCTTAACTATAACTAACCAATAGTGAGTATCCACACTCTAAAAATGGAACATTTAGTGGATGTATATACATATTTTTTAAAAAGGCCCTCTTCCATGATAAAAGTTATATAAGCATCATTGAGTTTATTCTAATAGAAAGGCAATTCTCTCTCTCTCTCACACACACACACACACACACAGACACACACACACACACACACACAGACACACACACACACACACACACAGACACACACACACACACACACACAGACACACACACACACACACACACAGACACACACACACACACACACACAGACACACACACACACACACACACAGACACACACACACACACACACACAGACACACACACACACACACACACAGACACACACACACACACACACACAGACACACACACACACACACACACACGTATGCTTTACTTTCCCAGAATCCTTTGTAACACCACACAGATTCCGTCACTTCCTGTTCAATATCTGGCCATTATGGGCTGTTCCCGAGATGCAGTAGTGACAGGAGGGGGTCTCTGGTAAGGCCCTGGTATGCAAGTATGCAGTTTCTCATACCCTGGGTTCCTCCACCAGCATGTTGTACCACAGGATGGACGCCCAGCCGCTTGGGAGCTGGCTTACGTTGGAGATGACCACGACGGGCAGAGATGTTGTCTGAAAGATGACAGAGACCTTGACATCACCCAAATCACAGAAACATCACCTTCAAACAGCTCTTCAGGCCTCAAAACTAAGCAGGGCATTATTTGTAAGTCTGCATATATTTTATACTTAAAACAAGAAATGTAAAATTATGCTCTTTTGTTCACAGTTTCCTTTTGATGTATGTATCTTTCAGTTAAGAAATAAGTCCCTAAAAATAACAATAGCTATGATAATTTGTTAAGAGATGCATAATATAAAAAGATATATATAGTGACATTGAAAACATAAAAACATAATGTTGCATAATACTGGAAAGAAGGTGGAGTAAAATAAGTCTCAATGCTAAATAAAAAACAATGAGGGCAATCTTGACAGGAACATTGAGTTTACTGAATGTGAAGTTAATTCAATTCTCTGGCTTTCTGGACCATAAATTAAGGTTAAGGTAGTATTAGATGAGAAAGGTCATCCTTTTAAAGCAATTAGGTAACTATCTTTAAAACAAAAACTGAGAAATACAAATGTCGGCAGCAGTTGTAAGTATAAATAAATAGTTTTTTTCCTCAGATCCACGGAAGTCTTACCTCGAGGTCAATGACCAAGCCCGGCTGGCACAACTGAGTTTCAAAGCTAAGGGAGTGGAGCTCCTCAGTAACAATGAGAGGGCCCTTCAGAAAGGAAAGAAGAAAAAGAAAAACACAGAAATTTACTCACTAATCCTGCAACTTTCAAAAGCCTAATGAACACTGCAACAGGTCAGAGATCCTGGACCCAATCAGCTGCAACTCAGAACTCTAATATTCAGTTACTCCACATTTCCCAGTGTCATCCCAAAGGCAAGATGGCTGGCATGATGGCAAGGGTTACAGATTCAGAGAAAGGATGTCAAGGAGGACACGGCGCCTTCTAACAGGATCACTTATTCGTGGCCGAAGACCTCCTGACTCCCGCCCCTTCTGCTCAGCCACAGCCCCACCAGCGAGGGCCACACGTCTCACGTGGATGGTAGGTGCAAAGTGCACTCGTGCTTCAGGCGTGATTACCTCTGGAAAAGCTGATTCACGTAAGTGTGGCAGCTCGTAAAGCATCTTGATTTGGGTAGAACTGGATGGCTTACAAAACGTCTTCACAGGCCTGGGAGGTCACAAAGGCAGCTAAGATGTGAACCAGGGCTAGAAGGTATCTCGGCACTGCCAGGCCTGTGTTCGTGCCACTGTCCCACCCGACCTCCGCTGACTGTGGGGTGGGAGGATGGCAGACTGTATGTGCATAAAGGACAGAATGCTCCACCTCAAAACAACTGCAGACACTGCATCCTTTGTCCATGGTTCATTTCTGAATGCATCACAAACATGACTCTGCAAGGAGCAGGTCATAGGAAGGAAACTGATGAAAAGACAGTGCTACAAGGTGGGGCTGCAAGGCAGGAAGCCCGGCAGGGATGTAGCTGCCAGCAAGGCAGTTGTAAAATGGCCTCTCATTCCAGCTCTGACATTAGTTCTCTGTGTACTCTTAGCCAAATTCTGCGATCTTCCCGGACTCGATGTCTTCACCTGGAAGGTATTTAGAATACCAAAGCCCAATACGGCTCCTCCACAGGGCTATCTATACAGGCTCAACCAGTTGGTGCGCAAAGTCCTTTGACAACCACAAAGCAGGAAGGTGGCTCTACTGTAATCTTACATATGCCAGGACCAACACTCAGCTGCTGTCCCTCCCTGCCAGGTCGACACAACTCTGTGAGGTGTCCCCAGCCCTCAGGGACACCTACCCGCCCTTGCTGGGCAGACCTGCCTGGTTAGGGTGCAGTCACAACAGAGAAACTCACCTCATTAGTTCTGGTGCCAGCATTTTTCTGTTCTTTCAGTTGCTACAAAACAAGAAGCCATCTTAGTAAACAGCATGCCAACCATCAAAGCTGCTGTCTTCATTTACAAATTAGGCCAAAGCTGGGAAGAGGAAGAATGAAGACTGTGATGTTTTCCTTGCAGGGGTCTCCAACGTCTAGGCCAAGGATTAGTAGTGGTCCTTATTATTATAATGTAATCATAATAAAAATAAAGTGCATGATCAATGTAGTGTGCTTGCATCATCCTGAAACCACTCCCCACCCCAGTGTGTAGAAAAACTGGGGACTGCTGCAGAAGAGAGGAAATGGCCCTTCTCGGGGTTCACGTGCAGGGATCTCTCCCCAGGGACCTGACAGGGTACGGACACCTCTGGGTTTGGAGGATCTTTTGGAACTGCTGTCTGTTCCCTTTCTCTGGTAAGGCCCTGGTAATCATTCCTGCAAACATTCCTGGAATGATTCTCCGAGCCTCTTTATTAGCTGTTTCATGACCCCCAGGTTCAGGGGACAGCCTCTCCTCCCTCCCCGATCCCTCAGCAGCCTCTTCCAGGCGAGGTCCAGTGATTCCAAGCCCAGCTAGGATTGCCTTTAAGTGAACTTCACTCCTTGAGCTTTCCAGAGAGCAACTGAGGCCTTGAGGCCACCCCAGCTCTCAGACTTCTGAACTGAACCGGGGCTCTCAACAATGTCCAGCTTCCTAGCTATGAGGGCTGCTGGTTTACAAGATGGTCAGCAGTGAAAAAGGTGACCACATTTTTTTGCCAGGTCTGAGCTCCAGGGAGCTTTGGGGTCAGCACCAATGGAACTTCAGGACAACGGGTAGCCCCTGTTTTCTCAGAGGCGGAAGGGCAGGAAGTGCTCAGTGGAATGAGGCTGCTGCCTGGAGACAAAGTGGTAGAGCTAGGCTGACATGGAGGCAGGGGCTAGAGGTGAGACCACCAGGAAGGGGAAGCAGACAAAGGGCTGAGGGGAGAATCCTGGGTACATGGCCATACCTGGAAGGCGGGAGAGGGAACAATTAGGACCTGCATGGGAGCCACAACCTTTGAGAAACTGCAAGACTCCACTGAGACCATGGAGGTGGCAAACGCAGACCATTTAAGGGCATCAAAGGTTTGGGAAATATTTCTACGGCAATTGATGCTGCTCAAAAGGAATGCTTCTGGGAGAAAGACTGGCAGAAAACACGGTGAACAGTCCCGGGACAAGGGAGGTGCTCAAGTGCTACTGATGGAAAGTCACCAGCCATGAAGTCTGGGGTGCCCTCCACGTAGCAGTGACTCAGAGGGTCACTCTACTGTCAGAGTCCTCACAGGGGCTGGGTGGCAACGCAGCAGGCATAACATGCTCTGCAAGGCTGACCCATGTGGGATGGGTCCAGGTTCACCTCCAGGGCCTCCCTGAGTCCACCAGTACACACATGGCCACGATCCAGGGATAGCAGAGGCTGGGGTAGGTCATGGCGGGAAGACCCTGTGGGTGCCTGTGTCTTTGTTTCTCTCTCTCCCCCAAACATGGAAGGGGGAGAACAATCTTATTAAACCAGAGACTACAAAAAATGGGAAAGCCTGGTCTTCCTACCAGGTGTCGAAACTCAGCAGCCAGACTTCCATTGGTGGACTCCTCCATGTTCATCACTTTCGTATGTGTGCCCAAAATGTTGAACTTTCTGAATCTGTACAACACAGGATAGCGATCCTTAAAAGCCTTCGAACTAGTAAACAAAGAAACTAAAAAGATTGCAAAATATAATGTAAAGTGTAACACGTACCCTTTTACCGTGTTCTTCTCGTTCACATCTCTGCAAAATATACACATTATATAAAAAATCATACACAAGTATTTAAAATTTGAAACAAGCTTTAGCAAGACTGGAAGTGTACATATAAGTAAAAAATGAATAAAAAATATATCTATGCCTGTGGTTTTGCTGCCTTTTAGTTGAGTCTCTCCCTTCCTCAATCCACCCACATTAGTTCAGTCAAGTGTCACTGACTGACCTTAGGCAAATACATGGTCTGGGCCTCAGATTTCTCATTTGTATTTGTACATGCAGATGGCACCAACCTTACAGGATACCGTGCAGGGGAAAATGAGCTAAGAGGTTAAAAATAAAGCAGGCAGTGGAGCCCCAGTAATGTGAGCTCTGGTTATGGCTGTTTATTGAGTAACGATTTACTCTGTGCGACGCACTGTGCTAAGGGGACTCCGCAGCTGGCACCGTTCTGCTGCCCCAGAGCTCAGAGGACCTTCTACTGCCATCGCGTAAGTCTTACTTTCATTCTCTATTATCTTTAGTGCTCAAATAAAAGCATTAGAATAGTCCATTATTTGGGAAAAATGGGAAGTTTAAGTTTTGTCTTAGGTTAAAATCTTGAACAACTGTGCATCCTACATAAATTCAGTGATTACTCGCTCAGGCTCTGGTCAAATAATTCTGTGAGTCGCACCGACGTAGATTAGAAATCGTCAGCCCGCTCACAGTTACATAAGTCGGTGACCCATTCCTTTCTCATTCAACGTTTCTGCGGGCGATAATGACCATCAGCTATAAGAGGGACCTATTTTCTCATGTGAAAAAAAAAATTAAAATAGAAGAACAGAGTGATACAAAGCTGCCTTGCCAAAGCTAAAACGGCCTATAAGAGCTGGAACAGACAGGGAAGACAAAGGAGCATGGAAGACCTATGACCGAGACTGAGCTAAGCAGAGGGTAGGAAACTGCAATGGCCACGAAACCTTTGTGGTTCCTCTCTAAAAAGTAGAATATATTTCCCTACTTCCTGAATCTCGGCAGGCCTTGACTGGCAAATGTTACCAGCAGAATGGATCAGAAAAATGCTATAGAAGTTCCAGGGCCAACCCTTACAGGCCCTGCCTGAGTGGAACACTGCACACTGTTACCGTAGGAAAAGCCCAGGCTAACATCTCTGAGAGACCTATAAAGAAGGACCCAGATGGGAACCAGCAGTTAGCGTAATGGCCATGTCACTGGACTCCCATGTAGTCGACCGCGGTTCAAGTCCCGGACCCGGTGGCTTAAAACTCACGCCGGGCGCGTGTGCGTGCGTGCCCAAGATCCAGAGAAGAGAATGGAGGAGAAGGGATTGTGGCGTGACCATCCCCCCTGGGGGGTGATTTCTCGCTTTCTGTCTCTATGTCTCTCTCTGTCTGTCTGGCGAGCGCACATGCCCTATAGCAAAAAAACCTCTCAAAAAAAAAAAAAAAAAGAAGGACCCAGTTATCCCAGGCTGAGCAACCAACATGTAACAAGGCTGTGACAAACCACCTAGCTCCAAATAGGCTAGCCCTGACCAGAAGGACCCCCTATAACCCACAGAATATGAGAAGCTTTGGGGGTGGTTTGTTAGAGAGCGAAAACTAACTGACACACAGAAAAGCCCAAGAAAATAGCAAAGACAAAGGTACAGACTGAAAAATACAGAAAGAAATTACTCTTACATGAGTAGAAAGAGACAAAAAGCCAGAAAAAAATTGGGGGTGATCATAAATTATTTTGAAAACTGTTAAACCAGCATATGATATAAGCCAACAGAAACATTAAATATATCTGGGAGGAAAAAGCTACCTTCTTCCTTAGTGTAATGGCTAGGTCAGGGCTAGCTCAGGCCTAGGGTCTAAGGCAAAATGGGATGGGCTGCTCTACATGGCATCTCCATGAGAGATCCTGTCCATTCCTGGAGCCCCTCTGCCCAGAACCAGCAGGCTCCACACAGGCCCCCGCAAAAGCTGCTGACTGCACTCCAGAACAACCCTTGACTGGCCTCCGAATCTTGGCGGGCTACATCTTCAGACTTGGGTTTGATTAAGACCCCTTCCTCTGAGGCTGGCCTAGCATAGGGGTTGGTGTGCCGAGTCCAGCTGCTGTGAGATTTGAAGACAATCCCACACGCACCTATTCCTTTGTTCACTTACGGTCTAAAAAGGCACAGGTAAACTCTAGGGAAAGCTCTCAACATCCAGAAGGGGAACTACTGGTTTCAATCTGTTGGGTCATTTGTAATGGCCCTAGAAGATTTCACTATACACTTCGGCTCACTTGCAGCAGAGTCAAGCCCCGAGGCTCAGCCCAAAGTCCCCAGGGAGGCAAACTTCCTCCCAGTGTAGACAATCTGGAGAATCTGCTCATTGAAGGGAGGAGTTCCTATTTGGTTAGCAAACCCAGCATTTCAACTATACATGTATCTTAGATAATATTAAAATATCTTACTTATCAAATAAGACTTTGACTTTCAAATTATAATTCAGCTCTTGTAATTTCACCAACAGTCTAGAAAGAAAAATAAAAGTCATTACTTTAAAGAATTATCTGTTATAGCTAATTTATTATACTAAGTCCCTGTCTATGAACATTGAGATAAACGACTTCCCCTTCAGTTTAGGGTTATTACAAACAATAAAACCAAAATTCTTATATATCCACTTAGTCATTTTTTGAAAGTGTATTTCTAGGATAAATTCTTAGCTATGGAATTGGCAGAACAGAATTATAACATTAAATTCTGATGGAGAGCAGCACTGATTTTACATTCCTACCCCAAATTAGTTAAGGGTACCTACTTCTCTCTATAACTTTGCCAACATTGGGTTTTACCAAAATTTCTGTTTCTGGTCAATCAATATAGGTGAGAAATAGTAGTGAGTTTGTGTGTGTTTTGTTTATTTGTTTTTTGGTTTTTTTTCGATTGTTATACGGTGTGTGCCCTCAGCAGAGAGAAGGGAGAGAAAGTGAGACAGCACCCCCTAGGGGGGATAGCCACACCACAATCCCTTCTTCAAACTCCTCTTGAGATTTTGGACATGTATCCTCACCTGCATTTTGGACATGTATGCTCCAAGCCTCCATATCTGGGACTTGGACTGTGAAGTTGGCCATATGGGACCCACCTGCCTTAACCGCAACATCACCTACTGGCCCAAAATAGTGAAGTTTTTTGATACAACTTGTATCTGAAGTATGTTCCCTTGGGAGAAAATAAAACTATTGCCCACCTAATCAGAAAAATGAGGGTCACATCTATGGTCATCCAAGGCAGAGTGGGAACATGGAAGGCAGAGGCACTCAACTGGGAGTCCAGCACCGTTGAGCCTCCACTCTGCTGAAGGGAGACCTTGGCAAGGAACCCACGGGTCTCTGGTCTGCTCAGTTTACTGGAGCAGGCAGACACAATTAGATTTCTACTGTCTCTTCCATCTGTGAGTTCTAGGACTCCATGGTTGCATGAGTGTGGTGTTGTAATCCTGCTGGCCCAGAATCTAAATCTAAAAGGACTGGGGCCAACACTCAGGGCAAGTTCAGTTCCTGGACATCTCTGCAGCTTATCCCTGGAGGAACTGCTAACTGGATTCAGCCATTCATAGAATAAAGCAAGGCCATATGCTGTCATGTGAAAACATTCCTACAATTATTACTAAGAAGAAAAATGGGCTACGAAAGGATAATAGGGGCCAGCTGCTGCTGCGGTGGTTAAGGCAATTGGATCCCATATGGCTGACTGCACAGTTCAAGTCCCAGTCCTAGCAGCTTGAAAAGCTCACGCTGCACATGTACATGCCCAAAATCCCTAGGAAAGAATGGAGGAGATGGGACTGTGGCATGGCCATCCTCACAAAGGATGATTTCTTACTTTCCTTTTGTATCTCCAGAGAGTGCATGAGCCTTATAGCAAAAACAAACAACAACAGGGACCAGCAGTTGGCATAATGACTGTGTCACTGGACTCCCACGTAGTCGACCACAGTTCGAGTCCTGGACCTGGTGGTTGCAACTCACGCCAGGCATGTGTGCGTGCATGCCCAAGATCCCGAGAGGAGAATAGAGGAGAAGGGATTGTGGTGTGGCCCACCCCTTGGGGGGTGATTTCTCACTTTCCATCTCTCTGTCTCTGTCTCTCTCTCTTTCTGGCAAGCACACACCCTATAGCAAAAACCTCTCCAGAAAAAAAAAAAACCTATAAAAATTCAGAATAATCCTATTTTTAAAAAATGAAATGGGGTATGCCACACTATATAACATACATAAATTTATATATATGTGTAGCTATGGACAAAATACTGGGAGGACAGACTCTAGACTGTTCACTGCAGTGGTACAGACACTTAGATCCTGGACTAATTTAAAAATCTCGTGAAAGCTATGACTCCATTCACTAGAAAAATGTGCATGTCCTAAATCCACATTCACTTACTCTACACAGGGGTAGATAAAGCTCAAGTTAAGAGCTTATGCTCAAGAGGAGTGAGGCTGCTGGGAGCTTTTACTGTTTACAAAACATATTTCCACAAGTTTGAATTCCTTTTTACCATGAAGATGCATTATGTATACAACAGGAAAAAAAATCAAGTGTGTATATATATATATATATATATATATACACACACATACACACACACACATGCATCAGTTATAGTTCTATTTTGATAAAGAATCTTGCTTATATAAGTCAGAAGTCATATCGAAAGGTCTTCCGAAAAAGTCTCTCCTCTAAACCATGTTCTGTAACAGATCTGTAAAAGGAAAGTAGGGGTGCACACTGTGACAGGCAATGAATGGAATCACATCCTTTATTACCTCAGCTTCACAGTGAACTGCACTCCAGTCTTCAAGACCAGTGGCCTCTGAGGATGAGTTGGCATGCAAGGCTGTCTTTCCACCACGAATGAGCTGTAAATACCCAGCCAAGTGTAGATAGATTAGAATTTTCATTACAGCTGAAACAGTAAAAAATGATTTCTCCTAAAGAGAAGAGACCTAGAGAACATAACCCAAAGAATATTTTGAAAGAGTCTGACAAGTTAGATGAACAAACAATGTCTTTTAGGTAGTAAAAAAATCCCCAAACTAATTTACACTCACAAAAACAGAGTTATAATGACCTATGATAACTATTCAACAATGAAAACTAGGTTCACTTACCAATCTAAATTAAGAATCAAATTTACATGAAAAACCCAAGCTAATATCTTTAATTTTTTTCAAAATACAACAAACAGGTAGGTATTCTTATTTGGACATTAGCTACAAGAAACCAAAGACACTTTCATTATTTTAAAGAATTATTGACATTTCATTAAGTCAATAAGCATAATAAACAATCGAACAAATCATCAAATTCAAAGCACTGTGCTAGGCCTACTGAGAGCAAAGGAGGATCAAGATATGCTTGTCTTCCAGAATTTTCCAACATTCAACAAAGATAATAGATATACATAAATGATGATAATAAAAGAATGGGAGAGAAATAAAGGAAGAAATACACAAGGTCTGGGAAGGAGATAATATCTGTTTGGAAACTCAAAAAGTTCATGATGGATACAAGCCGAAACTTGCAGGATAATACAGTTCTAAATTGGTATGACTGGAAAGATCGAGGGTAGAGGAAATCGTGTCATGAGAGGCATGGTGAAATTAAGTGTACAGCATGAGCCCAGGGAAGAGCAAGTGGGCAAGTTTGCCTGCAAACGGGGTCCATGCAGATGCTCAGTGTGGAGACCAGCCAGACCCAGGCTGTGGAGATGGAGCCCCAAATGCCCAGCTCAGGGGCTCCACCCAGATTAAACTGAAACTCTCCTCTGGGATAGCACTGGGTGATAGGTCTCAGGAGGAAGGGACCAAGAGAGGGAGCTGCCGGAAGGCTACTATGTAAGAGCTCAGGAAAGAGGACTGGGACCAGCAGTTGGCGTAATGGCTGTGTCGCTGGACTCCCATGTAGTCGACCGCAGTTTGAGTCCCGGACCTGGTGGCTTAAACTCACACCAGGTGCATGTGCATGCATGCCCCGATCCCGAGAGGAGAATGGAGGAGAAGGTATTGTGGTGTGGCCATGCCCCCTGGGAGATGATTTCTTGCTTTCTATCTCTTTGTTTCTCTCTTTCTGATGAGCACATGTATAGCAAAAATCTCGCCAAAAAAAAAAAAAAAAGGATTTGTGAGCCTAAAAACAGGAGGACGCCATGGTATGGGAAGGAGAGGACAGTGATCCTGAGGTCAGATGTGCTAGGTCTTCACACAAGATCCCTGGCCCTGGGAGAAGGAAAAATAGGAGACCCCAATAATAAAGGCCTTTAGCATAGTCAAAGAATTCAGGAAAAATCAATTAATACAAAAGCATGTAAATACCCCAAAAAGCCTTCTAAATAATCTGAATGGCCATAAAGCGTTCCTCTAGATAAAATCATTAAAGGAGGTGCACATACATCTCCCTTGAGTTACCTCTGAATGAGCTGCTGGAAAAGGCTGAAGGTGCGGTCCCATAACACTTGCTTGTTTTTTGTGATGGGGTCATGTTCGTAGGTGTATTTCTGCTCCAATTCCTCCAGCTTCTTGAGCTGCTGACGAACCTGCTGCAGACTCTCTGCTATGATGGTGAACCTGAGAAGGTACAAGACACAGGTGTCTAAGTGGTCCCAACACAGCCTGGATTCAAGAGAATCAAGACGCCAAGCTGTGACGGGCAACTTCCCTGCACAGAACCAGGAACAAGGCTCTGCTGGTGTAAAGGAACTTAGTGACCCGGGGAGGAGAGACTACGATAGCATGTGCTGGCTGATCACTGCCTCTGCCCACCACCCAGAACTGCATGAGGAGAGAGAGGTGGGGACAGGGCTTCCAGGTGATCCATGACTTCAAAAAATGATCTTCATGGTAACCAGGATCAGAAATGGGCATGGCGAGGAGGACAGAGGCAGGGAAGCAGCAAGGCAGACGCCCTCAGGGGGTTCAAGAGGCAGTGAGGAGCCACTGAGGCTATAAGTCAGGACAATGACGGGAGCACAGGGTGCCTCTGGAGACCAGACAGAGGTGCTGTGCACAGGGCAGTGGGGAGGGGAGACGCAGCCTGGGGGCAGGTGGACAGGAAAGAACAAAGATGCTTGTTTCACTCCACCCAAAGGAGAAAGCGATGTGCTGCTGTCTGGATTCTCAACGTATAAAGCCAACCAGGATCTCCTGCCAGTTTCACTTTCCTTCTCTCTCTGACACCTCACTTTCCAGCCATCCCAGAGGCAGTCACTGCAGGTCCATCCTCTGCCTTTGCATACATGTTCCCTCGACCAGAAAGAACGTCTCCTCCCTGGTCTACATGAAGAAGCCCTATTTGGTCTCAAAGAGCAGCTCCTCTAGGAAACATTTCCTCATGACTCCTTCCTTTGTTCTCCGGGAACTGTGAGGGACTTTTGATAGTCCCTTGGAACCATGGAACTGTCACCATGTCTAGGTTCCCGCTCCACACGGAGAGCTCCTTACAGTAGGACCAAGAGTCATTCGTCTGTATGTGCCTGCATCCGTACAGTGCCTGGCACATGGCAAGCATCTACTAAGCGTGTACTGGAGCAATGACTGAATAAATAGCCCATGACAAACTCTGGTGTTACTTGAGCCACCAAATGCTCCACACTATGTAGTGTCTAGTAAAACATTAGTACTCACATGACTGGATGTGTTCTATAATGATCATGCCACTGATATTTTACAACACCCCACCACACGGGAGTGCTCTGCACCAGGCAGATGTGGCTGCCCATGGCCAGAGTCGTGCATAATGCTGTGCTTCCCGAGGGAGTGTTTCTAAGGTAAGCTGGAGCTGGACTTGTCAAATGCTAAGCCAGGGTTCTGACAGGGTCACTTCAACGTACACAGCCCAAAGGTGCACCGAGAGAATTCAGGGGGGGTGGCCGGTCAGCTGCCAGTGTGCGCTAGAGAGCACCTTACCAGTTCTGCAGCTGATCGAGGCAGGCGTTCGGGGGCCCCCCGATGCAGGCGCTCTGCTGCCTCCGCTTCCACTCCACCAGTTCATCGTTAATCAGGGCGTTCTGGGTAAGTTCGGTGACATTCAACAACTCTCGTATTTTGTGGACAACTTCCTAAAGGGAGAAGAAGAAACAAGGTAAAATAAATACATTTTTTGGTCACTGAAATTTAAAAGATTTTAAAAAGCAAAGTAAATATTCACTTACTTTCCACTGAGGCTCTAAGCCAAGTGGCTATAAAAATAATACTTTTCGCTGTTCTAAACTTTGAGTCCATTATTTACAGTCTGTGATAAAAGCAACATGCCATTCCAGAAAGGAAATCCTACCTTTCTCTTACTGTCAAGCATTAAATACATCTTCTGGAGTAACAGCTGCTCTTGTTTCTGGTCAGCCTTTGCCACTCCATTGGTTTCGTTTTCTGTGAATTGAGAGAGACAACAGATAGTAAATGTCTAAGAAGGCAAAACCAACAAGCCAAGATTCACATATATTCAGGAGAATTAAAATACAAACACGAAGTTTGGCCTTCCACAGTCTTCACTGAACAGAACAAGAAAAAATGTCCTGAGTATAAAAATTAGTCACTGAAAGCAAGTTATGCATGTCAAATCGCAAATAGTGCTTGTCTATCACTTAAATCATGGTCAGAATATCACCTTAGTGAGGATAAGTGACAAAATTCAAGGCTGCAGATCAAAATATGTATAATAAAGGGCCAGCAGGTGGCATAGTGGCAAAGGCACCAGACTTTCACATGGCTGACTGCAATTCGAGTCCTGGACCTGGTAGCTTGAAACTCACACTGGGCGCGTGTGTGCGCTCAAAATTCCAAGAGGACAATAGAGGAGAAGGTATTCTGGTACAGCCAACCCCCAGGGAGTGATTTCTCACTTTAGTCTCTCTATGTCTCTCTGGTGAGCACGTGTGCCCTATAGCAAAAACCTCTCTTAAAAAAACAAACAAAAAAATATATTTTTAATATATATATATTATTTTATATATATATGATATATATATAAAATAAAGCATATCTATAGCTTTGAAAGAGAAGTAGATGATCAAGAAATAGTAACTGAGGTCCCTTTCTTTTACACTTTTTACTCAACTCACACTGATAATCTCTTCCTGTTAACTGTAATATCTACCAAGTGATTACTAGCAGTTCCCTATATGTTCTACACAATGCACATTTTTGGGATATTTTCAGTTGCTACTATCATTATAAGTAAGCAACAACAACAAAACAGAGTGAAACTGCTTTAAAACATAAAGAAAATGCTAAACTTATCTGTGGTGCATACATACAGAACTAGAATGTTTGAAGGTACTTTATATATTTGGGCAAGGAAACCTCCTATCAGTCTATGTCCCTCAGTGGACAAGGCACAACGAACAAGGTGAACAGCACATTATCATTGCTTATCAATTGGAGTGACCTGTTCCTTATCCAGATACATCTGGCAGTGTCTGGAGACAGTCTGGGTTGTCCCCATTGGGGTCAGAGGTGGCATCTGGTGGGTAGATGTCAAGGACGCTACTAAAAAGTTCACAAACACCACACCGAAGAATTACTGGGGCCAAAATGTCAACAGCACTGAGGTTAAGAAACCTTGGCCTGGGACCAGCAGTTAGCATAATGGCTATGTCACTGGACTCCCTTGTAGTCGACCACGGTTCACGTCCTGGGCCCGGTGGCTTAAAACTCACGCCAGGCACGTGTGCGTGCGTGCCGAAGATCCTGAGAGGAGAACAGAGAAGGGATTGCGGCATGGCCATCCCCCCTGGGGGGGTGATTTCTCACTTTCTGTCTCTCTGTCTCTCTCTGTCTGTCTGGCAAGCGCACACACCCTATAGCAAAAACCTCTCCAAAAAAAAAAAAAAAGAAAAAAAGAACCCCTGGCCTGGGTCATCAAAAAGCCAGGAGTAGAAACTCAAGAATCATAAAATGTTTACTGAGCAAATATGAAGGCATAATCACCTTCATCATCCAGTATACACAGAAAAGATCACAGCCAATAGGCTGCTTTAATCATTAACTCTTACCTCTGTTCTGTAAGGTTTTGCATTTAAAGTCATATTCATCTTGTAAATCTTCTAGGGTCTTGATTTCATGCTCTATACACTACAAATAAAGACAAACGTGTTTTCCACCAATCATCACCTTCCTTGGCTTTTTTCATATCCCCCTGGCTTCTAGTTTCTCTGACACTGCAAGATATAATGGCTCCCAAGAGTCTAGAGTTTGGAGAGACACTGTCTGCTGAGCACAAGTCAAGACCATGCTGACATCACCAGAGACCCACAGCCTGCTTACCCAGAAAGCCTGTTCCACAAAAGCAGGTCTCAGCCAAGACAGAACTCCTTACCTTTCCCCTAGACAGCTCGACCAGTAGCGAGAAGGCACACACACACACACCAACACATACACCAAAGGAGTTCTCTGCTTCCCAATGAAGTTGTTAAATCATAAGTTTCCATAAACTGTCCTGGAAGTTTCATCTTAAAATTGCTCTGGATGTCTCATTCTAATCAGTAATGTATCATGACTTCTTTAAATAACATGTTTTTGTTCCTTTTCTAAGTCACAGAAGAAAAGCAGGTGTTTGAGGAAGATGGGCCAAGTTTATCCTGGAGCTTTGTCTAACCTCTGTGAATTGAGAGGCGTAGACATACGGGCTATTTTTTGTAGCCATACCTAGCTTACTGGGCAATGGAGCAAAGTTGACATTGACTGCATGGTCATTCAAGAAAGTGTTCATATTCGGAAGTTACAACAGGGCCATAAAAAGACTACATGGTCATTGGTTTTACCAGTGTGTGTATTTACGGTTTGGAACTTCAGCAAAACTACTTACTTCTAAGACTGAATTGTTACAAGGTTTACCCTAAGAAGAGTCAAATGTCCCCTCTACAAAAACTTAGAGAATTAATGTATGTATTTACCCCATACTCACCATCACTTTGTCCTTCACGTTTCTGACCTTGCTATCAAGTTCCTTCTGTTTGTCCAACATCACAGTGCTTGGAATATTCCCTGACTGAGCCTATAACGGGAAGTGCATGGTTAACAGCCATCGTTCCCCACCCCACCCCCACCTCTGGTGTATTTATTCACTGGCTATACTCCAAAGTCAAATCCATATCAGTGCCCACTTATCTCCCAGGCCTTAAAAGACTTACTACAAGCCTCTCAAATGTGTGTCAACAGAAATAATCCAGTTCCCTAGATCCAAGAAAATGCTAGCAAGCTGTCAACAGGGCTACAGAAAGACTAGACTTAGTTTATACCTAAAATAAACAGTATTTCTGGAAGTTTCCATTATTCATACAGTTACATGGCACCACAAAGGAATTTATTTCAGAGTTTTTCAAATTCCATATACAAGATTATTATTAACCCCATAGTTATTTATATCAAAGCCTTGTGATTAGAAGTGTGGTCTCCAGACCAGCAGTATCTTATCTTCATATACATTTCCACCTGCATCTGGATTTACTTCTCAATTTTTCTTTTCTTCCCATTGGTCTGTCTGCTCAGAATTGTAAGCCCTTGATTCATGTTTAATCAGGCAGAATTTGCAGTGTAACTGGGAGGGTTAGTCCCATTTAATTGTTCTACTTTTTCAGGCATTTCCTTGTCATTCTTACATGTTTATTTTTCATGTGAATTTCGAAATTCATTTGTATAGCACCAGAAAACAACTTGTTCATATTTTTTTACTGGGATCACAATAAAATTATGAATTAATGCAGATAGAGCTAATATCTTTGATTTTTTTTTTCACTTTATTTCTTGAGAGAGAAAGACAGACAGATAGACACGTATAGGAAGGAAATCTTGATGGTCTTGCTGCACTGTGACGTGCTCTGCACCCAGCCTCCTCTCCTAGTGGGCCAGGATCATGGTGTATCTGCAGGTATGCCAACATGTTCAGACTGAACCTGGATCCCAAACCCTGGGGCCCAAATGGCTGCAGTATTGCTCGGCTGTGCTCTACTGCCTGCACCCCTGCAGCTGGGCCTTATGTGTTGTTTTAAATTCTTACACTTTTAACTGTTTGTTCTTTTATTTCATTGCATTAGCCATACCACAAATATGATGTTAAAAAGCAGTGAAAATATTGGACATCCTTGCTGTGTTCCTGGCTTACTGGAGTTGTTCAAGTAAGATATGATCCCTAGAACTGTGTGTTGAAGAGGTATCCATGGAACTGGAGGTGGCACAGTATGAACACAATACTCTGCAAGGCTGCCCTTGTCGGAAGGTTCTCTGTTCACACCCAGAAACCTCCATGAACACACCGGGTGCAGGTATGCCCCTGATCAAAGGCTGGCTGAAGCTGGGAGTGAAATGCATTGTGAAGGCCCTGTGGGGAATACCTGTCACTCTCTTGCTCATGGGAGAAAGAAAAAAGTTAACTTAGAAAACTAAGAGATCTCTGGTGAGCACATGAAACTATGGCAAAAGCCTGAAAAAAAAAAAAAAGAAACAAAAAACAAAGAAAGAAA